GCAGTTCTGGGGCCATTATCCCCCTTATCTTTTCCTGCAGGGCCCTTGCCTTTCGCATGCTGTCAAAGACCAGCAAACGTCTGAAGTCGTTCTGATGACACATTTGCACACGGGTGGGTCAGTGAAACCGGCACTGGCACCCCACCAGCCAGAAGCAGCCTTCACAGACCCGCTTGAGGCTATGCGCATCCCCAGTGGACAGACTCATGGAGCTGCCACCCCTGTGGAGCCTGGGGACAGCTTGATGGAATGTCACTTAGGCAGGGCAGGCAGGCACCGTGAGGGGTGTCTGGGAGAGAGCCCCCCTCCGTGGCTCACCTCCCCTCTGGTCACACTATATGGACTGCCCCTGCTCTGCCCTTGCACCACGCCGGGCCCAGTCCTTGGCACTAACGAGGGTCACCGAAGACGTGCTGGCCATGGCCCACAGGAGCCTTCCACTTAGCGGGGCAAAGGTAGTGGAAAGATACGGGAGTCAGGGAGACCTGGTTCGGATCCCAGCTCTGCCGCTTCTTCTGGGCATGAGGTCACTTTCCTCATCTGAAAAATGGGGCTGATCCCATTCGGGGATGCGGGGGCCAGGGAGGCTTACATGGAGTGATTTCAACCTGCCACAGCGCTGGCCTCAAGGTGGGACCTCAGCACATGTCACTTCCCTTCCCTTCCCTTTCCTTGAGAGCCAAGACCCAGGCACCAGAACTGAGCAGGTTCAAACACATCCCCAGGTGGGGGAAGGGCTTATCTCCGCCACTGACCACAGTGTGTTTGTAGATGAGCCCAAGGTCAGTGACCCCGCCTCTGCCCTGCAGAGCTGCTGCCACACTCCAGTCCTTGAACAGCCTCACCTGACTCTCTCCTCCGCCCACACACCCCCTCCCCGCCCCACCCCCCCGCAGTGAGCGAGCTGAGTGCAGATACCCCACCTGGGGACCCAGCGGCAGAGGGAGCAACACATGGAGAGATGGCTACTGAGGCCTCTGCTGAACGGCGTCCCCCCGCCCCAGCCTGCAAGGAGGCCCCTGGCATGAAGGACAGTACCTTGCACTCCCAATCAGGTGAGACGTGTACATGGGCACAGAGGTAGCAGAAAGGGGCATGGTGTGAGCCCCCTGTCATGATTTCCCCGGCTGTGACCCCTAGCTGGGTGGGTTTTCTTTCCTCCGTAACACCCAGCTGATGTTCGAAGGCACGTCCTTCTCCCTACTCCTCTGTTCTCTCCTCAAAATTCTAGTAGAGGACGTGCCACGACCCTGCTCTTGCCATGAAAGGGTGATGGCCGTCAAGGGGGAGGGAGGACTGGCCACTAAGGCACACGGATGTTTCCTATTCCTTTCGCCTGCACAATTGGCTTTTTCCAAAAGCAGCTTAGGATAGCTTCGAGCGAAAAAGTTTAACGATGCGGCTGATCGTCAACTTGACACAAAAAAATCATGGTCTAGGGGAAAATACGTGAATATGCGTCTGAGTATCCTGGCCCCCACGGTAAAAGGAGAAGATCAGTTACTGGAAAGGAGTAAGCGTACTCATCTTCCATTTCTCCTCTTGGAGTTTTGTATAAGAGGCATTGTTGTGAAGGACAGAGTCAGTTACTCCATATTTATACAAATTCACAAGCAGATTGAGTCAGCCTATTTGATGACTCATAAGAGACTCTGAGAAAGCAAAGGATACGGTGTTAAAGTGCCGCTCAGTAAGGGTGAGTGTTGTCTGCTCAAGGTTTCTGATCCTCGACCTTGGCCCTGGTGTTCAAGGAGTTGCTGGTTTCATTTGTCCCAGTCCTTCTCAAACTTGAACATACACATAAGCTCCGGCAGATCGGGTTGAAATGTACTTCTGATTCAGGACTTCTGGGGTGGGCCTGAGACTCGGCAGTTCTAACCCCCCACCCCCACCCCTACCCCCAGGCCATCACATGCACCACATGCGGAGCAAGGACTAACTAAAACCCAGACTTCTCCAGTTGTGTGCCTTTGCAAC